ATGAACGGCGGGTGTGTGTATATCGGGTATGATATACACATCGTTCAGGATGAAAGGCGGGTGTGTGTATATCGGGTATGATATATACATCGTTCAGGATGAAAGGCGGGTGTGTATATATCGGGTATGATATATACATCGTTCAGGATGAAAGGCGGGTGTGTATATATCGGGTATGATATATACATTGTTCAGGATGAAAGGCGGGTGTGTGTATATCGGGTATGATATACACATCGTTCGGGATGAAAGGCGGGTGTGTATATATCGGGTATGATATATACATCGTTCAGGATGAAAGGCGGGTGTGTGTATATCGGGTATGATATACACATCGTTCAGGATGAAAGGCGGGTGTGTGTATATCGGGTATGATATATACATCGTTCAGGATGAAAGGCGGGTGTGTATATATCGGGTATGATATATACACCGTTCAGGATGAAAGGCGGGTGTGTATATATCGGGTATGATATATACATTGTTCAGGATGAAAGGCGGGTGTATGTATATCGGGTATGATATATACATCGTTCAGGATGAAAGGCGGGTGTGTGTATATCGGGTATGATATATACATCGTTCAGGATGAAAGGCGGGTGTGTGTATATCGGGTATGATATATACATCGTTCAGGATGAAAGGCGACAGACAGTGTTCACTCAGAAAGATGGACAACAGGGTTTGTGTCGAATGTATTATATTATGCATACTTCAGAAGGCTGTAGAAGCAATGTACACTTAGAAACATGCTGAGAAGCATCATATCCAAGCTGGATGCTGACGATTTTGTATCGAGATGAGAAATTTTTTCTCAGCTACAATTTTTAAAACTGAGACCCTGATTAAAAAGAAAAGAAAAACACCTTGCAGCAATATGATTTTTATGGCAGGCAGTGTTTCCAACCCCCCCCCCCCCATCAGTATATCAAATGGTCGTTCCTCAGCTGGCCTAAAGTCATGAGGATCCATGGATAGTGCGGTGTGTATGTGTCAATGATGAACATAGCTTAGAATATACCTACATCTACTAAACCGGCTTGCATTTCATGATCATGACACCACAGCTACCGTCTTTTCTTCAAAACCACAAAGAGTATTTTACAAAATGAGTCAATAAAGGATATTCCTCTGTAATTATTAGGCTCTTGAATATTTCCTGCCTTGTGCAGTGGACAAATAATACTGTTTCCCCACTTGGGAGGGAATGTACCACGGTCAAACAGTTTATTGAACAGTTTTCTTCGAGTTGGTGTAAAGTTGTGCAGTAAGTCACCCAGAAGACCAGGTCCAGGAGTCTTTTTTTATTTTAACACTTTTCAACAAGAATATAATTCTTCCTCTGTAAATGGTCTGTTCAGATCATTTACGTAAAATGTTCTGTCAGATGGAGATCCCAATTGATATCAATTATAGCTGAATAATTAAATACAGTGTCACTGACATACAGAAGATTTTAAAATGGTTACACTACTGCTCAACTGATATATTCATGGTGATTGTACGAATGCTTCTCCCTCTTTAATTTTTTCCCCCAAAACACCAGGGATTCTTTCTTGAATTTATTAACACAGTTCTTTTTTCCTCAAAACAGCTTCTTAAAATCATTTCGAAGAATTCTGTAAGTATCAAAGCATGTACCGATAGTTTAATGATCTTAAACAGGATATCACCGAGGTGTTACGAACAGGTTATAGTGTTGTGCGCAACAACATGATGACGTCATCAGACATTGCTCAGTGCAATACGTCTTTGATCAGTGTGTTTATGGATGGCATACGCATACAGTCACTTATTTAGGCATAGGGGTTAAAGCTGAAACATTTACACATGTGCCGATTATGTAGCTTTATTAGCAGAGGCTCATCTAAATTTATATCCTCTTTGAGTGTTTTGTACAACCGGTGTAACAATAGCATGCGATCTGTTAAATGAAACACTGCCAGTTTTTGAGGTCTGTCAATCTCCCAGACCAAGTAGATTTGATTTACTGAGAAAAACGATTGCATTTCTACGTTTGTTTAACATGACACCTGTGTGCCATGATGACTGAGGAAGTGGGGCAATGAATAAACCCCATGGGTTGATGATAGTATGATCACGGTTGTTGGTTGGTTGTTTAACGCCGCACTCAGCAATATTCCAGCTATATGACGGCGGTCTGTAAATAATCGAGTCTGGACCAGACAATCCAATGATTGACATCATGAACATCGATCCACGTAATTGGGATCGATGACATCCATCAACCAAGTCAGCGAGCCTGACCACCCGATCCCGTTAGTCGCCTTTTACGACAAGCATAGTCGCCTTTTACGGCAAGCATGCGTTGCTGAAGACCTATTCTAACCCGGAATCTTCACGGGTCTCATGATAGTATGAAGATGTAAAGTTCCGCTGTAAGCAACGTTTCGCCTATATGTTTGTTAATGCAAAAGAAGAACGTCAAAGGAACATGGTTTGTTTTCTTCAGTGCAGCTTGGCGTAAAAAACGTAGAACGTGGCAAGTGTCTTCTGAATGGCGTTTAGAAAATGCTGTAAATAACGCTGTGAATGCTGATTTAGTAATGTGTATGAACGAGTAAGCATATACTCCGAAACGCTGTGTTCCTCATAATAAAGAAGTTGACATCCATATATTCTCTTCCTTAATGTGTATCAATGCCTTTGCAAGACGTGTCTTCAGTTGCCGTATACGGCCACTAAGAACAACATAACTAATAACTAATAGTATTGTGACAGTATAAAGGATAAGGTACAGCAGTGAACTGGGTCGATCAGCACATTGGGTGAAGCTTGTGTAACTCTTAAGTGAATAATATTAGTTATGGCGTCTTCATAGCGTGAGCCGAGCCCAACATTTTTCTGCTAACCTAATATAACACCGTATACGGCAACAAAAGACACCATAACGAATTTATTATGCCGAAAAATTTACACTCTCTGGTATCCATAAACTTGACACAACCGTTCGCTGACGTGAGGGTCAAAGGGAGACTACTCTTCAAACCTTAGAGACCAAACCTTGTTGACAATTTTAACTATAATCTTTATCAATAAAGTCACGAACGTGATCTAAAACACAGATTAATGTCCTTGCACATCACAATTAAAGATAATAAAATACAAAACAGTGTCAAATAATGAATTTCGGTACCAGAATGTTCATGTGAAATATGTGAGTAGGGTGTTGGAAAATCCAAGTCGGCTGTTACTGACTGTATACGGTCTCAGATTAGGTCAGTAACAACCCAATCTAATTAAAATCAGACCTTAGTTCTCGCTACCGCTAAACTAAGATCTGATTTTAATGAGATTGGTAACAACCATCTTGGATTTTTACTGACGGTATATGGGCTCATGTGGGGTTATATATATATTTATGCCATTAGTAGTCCTGCTCTCTAGTTGGTCCATCTCACTTGAGGCATAGTAATTACAAATGCATTGCGCCAGTTCCTTTGACATTCACGAAAGTTTCGCTGCAGACACACGATAACGAACAAAGTCTTCATTAAAACATCAAACATCTTGCAACTTAAACCAACAGTTTTTACCCCTTATGTGGCCTACCCAAACATATTCAGCTAAATGAATATATATGTCGTGGTTGAACAAGATAATGTGTTATTAACTTTAAATACTGATTTTCATCGTAGAACATTCCATTACTGCGTGGATTTATCATTGTTAGACAGAAGGAACCCGTTTCTACCGCTCCACATACCCTGTGTAAAGATGGGCATGAATAGAGGATATAATTATTTCATGGATCGAGTGTATAAATTGTTTCTCTCATCGAGGGGCGAGAATCTCCTTTCCCCCCGTCACGAGGTCACGAGATGAGGGAAACATGATATATCCTATTTATTATATACTTTTTGTGTAGTTGTCTACCAGAATATTAAATATATTTCATTACAAATGTAAAACCTTGAAACGTAAATTCTCCCTACCTAACACAAAGGGACGGTTCACCACCCCTTGTATTTGCGACTTAAAATGTAGTTTCGTGTTTGCAAAATCTTAAAAAATATAAACAAAAGTATAAAAAATACTTAGGGTCACGAAAATTCTTTCACATATATTTAGATATGATTACATACAAAATCAATTTTAACAAATATATTCTTGAAAACTAGGAGACCGCTTTTCGAAAGAATAACAAAAGGCAAGAAGCGATATTAACTCCATAAACGACTGTCTGTCATTATTTTGCCTTGTTAATGTAGACCAAACGTAAAAAGAATGTCAACAGTTTGTATACGGGCTGGTTGCGTACGACAAAGGGAGACAATTTAAGTGGAGGTAACTCTTGTTTGACAATAGTTCCGTCAAAGTGTTATGTTCACTGCAGTAAAATATCAATTAAGTGTTATGTTCACTGCAATGAAAATATCACTTCGGAAAACTCTTTCACAGTGAAGTATATTATAATATATTATACTCTTTTAACTGGGGAATTCATAGCTGTACACAAGTAAATATATTTATTCGGCTTAATAAGATACATTGGTCAATAGAAATATGCAATGTCGTGTATCTATTTGCGTGCTGGTACGAGTGCCTGTGGTCCAAGTCTCTAATTTGAGGAGCTTGGTGCCACTGGACCATATAATGGTCTTTCACCTTTCAGTCACACCCACTTAGTGCCACGGGACCTTTTTCACCAGTGAATTAAGATGTCAAACACTGAGTGAGCAAAATAAAAACTATAACCATCATCACCCTTATCATGTCGCGCTTGAAGCGCATTTGTCATTTCTGTATAGCGGTTAACATTTATATTTTGTTGGGTGCTTACGTCCCCTTGCACCTAGAACATACTTCATTTGTAACTTTGACTTCCAGGGGAAAGTATCCTATTTGTAAACAGGTCAAATGTTACTATTTGTTATATTGTTTAGCTTATATATACACTTAACTAAAATACGAAAATGTTGGAAACAACACCATCAAACAACTTCAGTGATGCGTGAACCTGTCTCCGCGTGTTGTAACAGAATTGTGCCAGCGTCCCTGGGCGTGTCTATACAAGTTCAACCATGTGCTGACACGGAAGTCATCGTTGTAAACAAACCGAATCAGCGAAATTTTGACGTCGTCTCAAATTCAGATCGAGTGGACGCAGCATGTAAGTTGTCAGTTTTATTTATCAGGTAAAATACGTTGCTCGTACACGGACATTGTCAGGATCTGCTCTCAAATGCATCTGAGGTGTATGTAGGTCAATGTAGACAGTTTTAAATTTGATAATTTGAGATGGGTATAGAGTCTGTTGAAGAAATATATGTCGCCACAAGATTGTCTGTTCATTGTATGAAATTGTATGAAAACGTGAAGACCGACCATAAATCGGTGACAGCCATTTATCATTAATTCATCCAATTCATATCAAATAGGTACATGTGTGACAGTAGATCTATGAAACAATATCACAGTTAGGCCTATTAAGTGTTTGATAAGCACATGGATATAGGCAAGCAGGTCATGTATGCAATAGCAGAGTAGATCCAAGTATGGTAGTTGTTTGTTGTTTAACTCAGGAATATTCCAGCTGTATATATGACAGTGGCGGTAAATATTACTGTCTGGACTAGACAATCCACATCTTCCCGAGGCAAGAGAGTTAACTGACTTTGAATGTCCAGTTTCCACCCTTGCCGAACTAGGCTGGAATTCCTGGGCTCGATGGTAGCGCCACCAGTGGCTATTACGAGTTATGTCCCTTCTGAGCCTCTTCTTTAGACCATCAGAGTCCACCTCTCATATCACTTGTATTTGCTTCAAACAAAACAGTGGCGCCCAGTCAAGACGATCTGATCGATAATCAAGGTCTATGTTGGGATAAAACAGGTCTTACATCGCGCAATGGGTGAGCATCTTGATTAAAAACTTGAAAAGATTTGGAAAATATCTGTTGACAACGAGTTGGCGGTGTACATGCTTTGCAAATCCTGCAATCGACTGAAATCTGCAGGACAGTTTACGAACCGGATTACGATTTCGATGCACGATTTTGATTGGACTATGCATAGACTCATTAGTCCAGCCAAAATGTAACTCCATAATACCAGCCTAGTTCGGCAAGGGTGGAAACTGGACTTTTTTAGTCAGTTAACTCCCTTGCCTTGGGAAGATGGACAATCCAGTGATTGATATTGTGAGCATAGATTCATGTCCCAGGATACTATGACACACAATCAGCCAATTCACCAAGTCTGACTACCTGATCCATTAATTCACCTCTTACAACCAGTATAGGTTGAGGCACCAATTCTAACCCGGAACTGAACATGATAGAGAGATTGACACTGGTTGACACAAATCCAACCAGACCCTCTAGTAAATTGAACTAAAACACAATTGTACCAGTGCTCTTATTATTTTAATATAGGAGTACTGGCAAAACTAAACAGTACACAAAGAGTATTGAAGGATATTTAATGGATAATCTTGTGTTTTACTTTAGATATGCACCACAGCATTGCTACTCTTCAGCAACCGATGCTTGCTGTAAGAGATGACTATGTTTGTAGTAAGAGGCAACTAACGGGATCGGGGGGTCAGACTTGCTGACTCGGTTGATGCAGTAGATCCGAAAAGGGCATCTGACATCTGACATTTTGAACTCTCCTTGATGTATAGTTTCACTGTTGCAAAATTAGAAGAAAGTCATCTGTTGAAATAGGGAACGCCATCTTCCTGAGGCAAGGGAGTTAACTGCCTACAAAAGTCCAGTTTCCACCCTTGCCAAACTAGGATGGTATTATGGAGTTGGATTTTGGCTGGACTATGCATAGTCCAATCAAAATTGCGCAACAAAATCTAAATCCGTTTTATAAACTGTCGTACAGATTTCGGTCAATTGCAGGATTTGCAAAGTATGTGCACCACCAACTCGTTGTCAACAGATATTTTCCAGATCTTTTCATGTTTTTAATCTAGGTACTCACGTGATTTGATGCACTTAGCGATGTAAGACCTGTTTTATCACAATATAGATCTTGATTATCGATCAGGACCCAGTTGTATCAAAGCCTCATTAACTAATGGCTACATTAAACCCTAATGATTCATTAAATGCTTAATGCACCATTAGTTAATGGCATCATTAAAATCGGTTGTATCAAACGTTTAATAGCATATCATTATCTAATGATGCCTTAATGTAAGTGTCTTCATTAACCTGTCATTAAATTCGGTGTTTCCCCTAAATATTTCCCACAATTCCTTGACGTAAACACGTATGCGTTACTTCCGGTCGTCTGTCAAAATGGCATCGTATCCACCTAAACCTAGGAATAGAAACAAGAATTTCAACAGCTCCGAAATTCAGCTATTAGCCGAGTTGGTGGAGAAACACATCTCCATACTTAACAGTAAGTTGTGTAGCACCGTTACCCACGAAAGTAAGAAGGCTATTTGGGCAGACATAACTTCCAAAGTTAACGCTCTCAGTGTTTGTCAGCGAACAACAAAAGAAATAAAAACAAAATGGACGAACATGCACCAGAATTCAAAGGGAATTCAGCAACAGACAGCTGGACATGAGGAAGACTTGGGAGGGCCCTGAACTGCCCCACTTTCCACGACGAGTGAAAAGATAGTCGACATTTACAAGGAATGTCCCAGTTTCACTGGACTCATGGGCATCGAATCGGATGATCTAGTGATGCAAATGGGTATGTCGCATGCGTTCAATAAAATATTGATACGCAAATTGTTGTAAGTGTTAAAAAGTACTTTACATGAGACAACAAACAAGTAGCCTAATCAAATCAGCTGCTCATACACGTTGAACAAGGCTATGGGGAATCGGATGTTGCACATGATTTGATGATCATATATCAAGAGGAAATGTAACCAACCTTTTTCACCACTCTTTCAGTACAATTGCCGGTTGTGATAAAATACACAGTGCACAGTTTCATATTTTTCATCTGTTCTCCGACCAGCAGCCATTGTGAAACGAGAAGGGGGGCAACTCTCACTACCCCTATTCCAAACCCAAAAGTTCATGTTGTGTCTTCCGATGTTAAGTTCAAATCTTGACATTCTTCGTCTCCAAATGCATATTTTATGTGAAGCATTTTTACTTTTCAAGAGAGAATTTACTTATGACGACAAAATTGGGTGAAACATATGCCTCATTATATCAAAGTCATTTTTTTTTCAACCTGGTTGAATGGGCCATGTTATCAAACACAATTTTAACATACAATTCTAATATATCATTTCATTTGGCTATAAGGCTAATGATAATAACACTGGTGCCAACATGAGTGAAAGAAAAACACATATACAATCAGAATATTTTTTGCACTATAAAGGGGTGAAGATTTTTGTTGTTTTTAATCTACGATTTCATCATTTGTCATGGGTTGGGATAATTATTTCTGTAGAAACGGTTTTGTTGAAGAAAAATAAGACAACAAAAGAAAATGTATTATCGTGATCCATAGCTAATTCTCTCTCTTGGTATATTGCTGGGAGATCTTTACGTACCGTATATGACCGCGTATAAGCCGAATTTTGAGGACCAGAAAAAAGATTCTGTAGAAAGGGGTCGGCTTATCCACGGGATATACTTTCATGATAGTATTTTTCAGATCGTGATCCGACAGAAACATCGCCTGAATGACGGTCCGATAGATTACAACCCGAAAGTTTGGAATAAAGTTAAAATTATCAATAAAGTTATTATTATACACCAATGTTGTCATTATTAAAAAAATGTTATGCATATTACTACTTACGATAATAAGTTTTCAATTGAATGTTCAAAGTTTGAACAGCGTTCCACATTATGAAAGTGGATGACTGGTTTGTTAAATCTTTATTAGAAATAATAATGACTTTTTCAATATAATTACAACGTTTTTCATCTTATATTATTGAATATCTGCGAGTACCGGCACATGTCTTCAACATCGGCGCAGTCCGACTTCGCAGTGTTTTTTTGCCTTGCACTTCCTGGTTCGGCTTATCTGCGGGTCATATCATTTTCTTTCGTATTTCAATGGTCAAGTTAACACCTCGGCTTATCTACAGGGTCGGCTTATCCGCGGTCATATACGGTATGTAGCTGTCAATAACGATGAGTTGATGAGATAAGCCGATCAGTTAATACACGATTTTGACGAAATTTATGTAAACCATATTGAAATATATCTTGAATAAAATTAATGTGATAGACTCATTGCTAAAGATACTCAAAGAACCTTACATGCTCACCGTGAAGTCTTGGCGTTGTGCAACAAAATCAAACTCATTGTATGCGTGTAGCTGAGTTTCTAGTGACGACGTGTTAATTATCAAACATTTACCTGTAGTTCAACACTAAGTGCGTGCGATCTTGCAGATTTGGGCTGTAATTCATCTCTCACAAGATCGCAGACATATCTGATGCTTGCCTTCCCAAAACGGTAGCGGGCCCTTGCTTCTTCATCGCTCATGGATTCGAGGTGTTGAGTTCGTTTTCTGAAAACACCGTCTTTCCTTGTGCGTCCTAAGCGTTCAAACAATATGTTCGCTGCCATGTTTGTTTTTAAAGACACGCTAATGATGCCCCAGAACCTTCATTAAGTTAATGACGCGCTAATGACACCACGACGTCATTAAAATGTTAGTACAACTGGATTTAATGATACATTAGTTAATGAAGGTTTAATGACACGTTAATGCATCATTAAAGTTTGATACAACCGGGTCCAGATCGTCTTGACTGGGCACCGCCATTTTGTGCAAAAACAAATGCAAGGGATACGAGAGAGGGAATCTGATTGGTCCATAGGAGAGGCTTAGAAGGGACATAACTCGTAATAACCACTGGTGGCGCTACAATCGAGCCCAGGAATTCCAGCCTAGTTGGCGCAATCTCATTAAAATGAGACCTTAGTACTCCCTTCTGCTAAACAAAGATCTGAAGACATCCCATTAGGAGTCACGTCAAAACGACCTTTCATCCGACCAATCAGTGCGTCGCTTACCAGATTATGAAAGTGACAGTCAGAATGTGATTTCTGGTCATGCAATCTCGAAAACTTTAACATGGTGTATTCCGAACGATAGTTACAGGTTTAACGACTGAATCCTTACAATCTAGACCATCTATTAGCCATTCCAGAATGTTTTTTTGTTCAGGTTTCAAATTTGTAATCAAGAATTTGTCAAAATATGTTTTGAAGCGTAGTCGCCAATTTGAAATTTGTGCCGTAAAGCACGAGAAAGCTACCTTCTGATTGGTCATTCCATTGGTCGGTCAAAGTTCGCGCAAGGTCGGCCTGACGTGACCCGTAATGGGATGTCCTCAGATCTTTGTTTAGCGGAAACGAGAACAAAGATCTGATTTTAATGAGATTGAGTTCGGCAAGGGTGGAAACTGGACTTTTAAAGTCAGTTAACTCTCTTGCCTCGGGAAGATGAGTGTAAGTATGATATTTGATATTCAGTTATTTTGTGTGATTCCAGTATCAAACCAAAATGGCAGATGGACCTAGTGCAGCAAAGAAGGCTAAAACAGATCTACCAAAATGTCCATATGGATCTCGATGCTACAGGAAGAATCCGCAGCATTTTCTCGACTTTGATCATCCCAAAGATGGGGAGAAGGACCCGAAACCTAAATTACCTGACTCAACATCGCTGCCCCCATGTCAGTATGGAGCTAAGTGCTACCGCAAGAACCTGCTTCATTTTGCGGAGTTTTCGCATCCGACGAGTTCTGGTGTAGCTGCTGATGCTGGTAGCGGGAGTGACACTGATGTAGTGGACTCTGACGAAGACGTAAGTTGACACTGTGTTGTCTCAGGGATGTCGCATACAGACCCGATCCTACTCATCCTCGATAATCTAGTGTATAAAATCTTCACTCTGTTATGGGGGTGGTGGGGTTGCCTAGTGGTTGAAGTGTTTTCTCGGCACGCCGAAGACCCAGGTTCAATTCCCCACATGGGTACAATGTGTGAAGCCTATTTCTTGTGTCCCCCACCATGATATTGCTGGAATATTGCTTAAAGCAGTTTAAACCCTCTCACTCACTCACTCACTCACTCACTCACTCACTCACTCACTCACTCACTCACTCCTCACCCACCCACCCACTCACTCACTCACTCACTGGATCTGTTGTGATATATACCAAATGTCCTCCCTCCTTTGTTTTGAGTTTGGTTCGAATAACAAATTTGACAAAAATAGCCATCCAATCAAATTACACTGTTGTTTCAGGATTGAAACAAATTTGATATGACCAGTACTGGACTTGTCGTGTCCCATCTCAAATACAACTGCCAGTGCCTTGTAGCTAAGGGACAGTCTGTTTAAGCACTCATGTGAACAACTTCATGTATGATTCAATTAAAATTATCAAGGACTTACGTGTGCGATTTTGAATGTACATCTATGCTGAACTTGTTACAGAAGAGTAACAAGTGTGTACTTATACTCTTTATTTCGGTAAATTGTAGGCCAACGGCCCATGTTTACATTCCATTACATGATGTGTAGAATACATACAACATATTTATATAAAATAGTTGACAAGATAGAAGATTGTTGCGATTATATTCTCAGAATTATTTTACGTAGGAGCATTGCATAATAAGGTACAGAGCTAGATATTGAATACATGTACGCTTCAAATAAAGTGAGTATGGAGCGTATACATACAGAATAAAATGTATCAAAAGTTGCCAAAACTCCAAGGCTTGAATGAATGATTATGATGATTATGATGATTATGATGATTATGATGATTATGCAGGACAAGAAGCCTGCGCCAAAGAAGGATGGGAAGGACGTGTTGAATCGTGGGATGTCCCTGGTGAAGAGCTTCTCCCAGATGACCGAGGCTGAGAGGAAGGAGCTCATCAAGAAGGCCTTCGAGGCCAAGCAGCAGCTGCAGAAGGAGCTGGAACAGACCAAGAAGAAGGTCGAGGAGAAGGAGAAGGAAGTGAAGTCACTGCAGGACCAGGTGAGTGGGTACCCGACGAGATCCGGGGGAGAATAGGTCTTCAGCAACCCATGCTTGCCGTAAAAGGCGACTATGCTTGTTGTAAGAGGCGACTTACAGGATCGGGTGGTCAGGCTTGCGGACTTGTTGATGCATGTCATTGTATCCCAATTGCGTGGATCGATGTTCATGATTTCAATCACTGGATTGTCTGGTCCAGACTCGATTATTTACAGACCGTCGTCATAGCTGAAATATTGCTGAGTGCGGCGTTAAACAGGAAAAAAACAAACAAAAGGTGAGTGGATGGTGATGGGGCGGATGAGGGGGTGGGATGGAGTTTAGGTGAGGGCTGAGTTGTGTTGCTATGTGTGTCATATGTTTTGCCAGGTGAGGGCACCTGTCTGAGAGATCTCATTCGTCACCACTCGCCCCTTTCCGTAACCTGCAAGAAGACTCGTCCCCCTATCGATGAATGTTATGTGCGAAAATACGACAAACCAATCAGAATGTGATTATGATTTCAAGTTCTTCGTCAAAGAATCACTCAGGAATAATTTTTGAATTCACATATGTCTTGCATCTAAAAATATACCAAAGACACAGTTAAATGTGTTCAATAATACTGTATAATTCCGCACGTCCCGATGTGCTTTAAATTCCATCTGAAATATATATAATATATGGGGAAATATATGTGAACCATTACGCAACGAGTTGACAATTGTTTTAGGTATGCCCGTTTGCGCTAAGACGGAACCCGGTCGCAAAAATGGCCATGAGAGGGGCGCGAGTCGCTATTCGGCTTGCCCGGAATAAAATGAGTTGGTCGCGACTGTGAGAGATCTATGTTGTGTTGCCAGGTGAGCACAGGGCTTCTACTGGTGGATGGGGAGAAGGAAGCTATGGAGGGGGACCAGACAGTGTACTTCCCCCTGGCCGCGGAGCGCGCTTACAAGGAGGGGTCGGCAGCTCAGACTCACTTCCGACTGGCGGAGTCTCAGTTCTACAGGCTTCTCACATCAACCTACACCACCAAGTAAGGGACAACTATTTGATATTCAGGGTCTGAAGGGAGGAGGAGGGTCTTGATGTAGGGGAAGGGAGGAGGAGGGGGAGCAGGGTCTTGATGTAGGGGAAGATAGGGGAAGGGAGGAGGAGGGGGAGCAGGGTCTTGATGTAGGGGGAGATGGGCGAAGGGAGGAGGAGGGGGAGGAGGGTCTTGATGTAGGGGAAGATGGGTGAAGGGAGGAAGAGGAGGAGGGGAAGGGTCTTGATGTAGGGGAAGATGGTGAAGGGAGGAAGAGGAGGAGGAGGAGGGTCCTGATGCAGGGGAAGATGGTGAAGGGAGGAAGAGGAGGAGGGGAAGGGTCTTGAAGGGGAAGATGGTGAAGGGAGGAAGAGGAGGAGGGGAAGGGTCTTGATGTAGGGGAAGATGGTGAAGGGAGGAAGAGGAGGAGGAGGAGGGTCCTGATGTAGGGGAAGATGGGTGAAGGGAGGAAGAGGAGGAGAGGAAGGGTCTTGATGTAGGGGAAGATGGTGAAGGGAGGAAGAGGAGGAGGAGGAGGGTCCTGATGTAGGGGAAGATGGGTGAAGGGAGGAAGAGGAGGAGAGGAAGGGTCTTGATGTAGGGGAAGATGGGTGAAGGGAGGAAGAGGAGGAGGGTCCTGATGTAGGGGAAGATGGGTGAAGGGAGGAAGAGGAGGAGGAGGAGGGTCTTGATGTAGGGGAAGATGGGTGAAGGGAGGAAGAGGAGGAGGAGGGGAAGGGTCTTGATGTAGGGGGAGATGGGTGAAGGGAGGTGAAATGGATGGCCCTTGATGACATGGCAGAGAAGCTGATATTTTGAGCTTAATGACCAATTTTTTATTTCAGTGTCCGAGTTTCAAAAGTGGAGTATGTCGTCAACCCAACTTTGGTAAAACGTTTCAAGTAAGTTCTTTGGACTAAACAGATTCTGTCAACTACTCTTTCTTGAATTGGCAGACCTTGGTCCTTGGTTTGTTAGCACCATGCACACTTTGGTGGATTTCGCTATAGTGGTGAACATCTACGACCTATGTCACTTCAAGTAATCAATCAGTGACATTTGGCCAGTTATCTGAATCCTGTAAACTCCATGATTAATAATATAATAGTTTCGGCCATTTTCCCTGTTTTTGTCTGAGTCTGAAATACATCTACGCGAAGCAAGAGAGTTAACTGACTATAAAAGTCCAGTTTCCACCCTTGCCGAACTAGGCTGGTATTATGGAGTTACGTTTTGGCTGGACTAATGAGTCTATGCATAGTCCAATCAAAATCAGGCGAACAAATTGAAATCCGGTTTTTAAACTGTCATGCACATTTCAGTCCATTGCAGGGTTTGTAAAGCATGTGCACCGCCAACTCGTCAACAGATATTTTAAAAATCTTTTCAGGTTTTAATCAGGTGCTCAGGTGATTTGATGCACTTCGCGATGTAAGACCTGTTTTATCATCATTATAGATCTTGATTATCGATCAGATCGTCTTGACTGGGCGCCGCCATTTTGTTTGAAGCAAATGCAAATGATATGAGAAGTGGAATCTGATTGGTCAATAGGAGAGGCATAGAAGGGACATTACTCGTAATAACCACTGGTGGCGCTACGATCATGCCCAGATATTCCAGCCTTGTTCGGCAAGGGTGGAACTGGACTTTTATAGTCAGTTAATGCCCTTGCCTCGGGAAGATGACTGAAATAGGACCAGAAGGTCTTCAGATTTGTTACATACACTGTCAGTAATTATGAGGCTTAAAAATCTTTGCTTCTAAGGCACCTGCACATATCAAAATGACTGAATCACACTGGGTTGGTATTTCCTACTTATTGGTAAATGTTATGTGTCCCGAACACACTACCGTGGCTGTGAAATACTGCAGCACTAATAACTTTGTGATCAAATAAAATGTGCCTTTACTGCGCACTTCGTGTTTCAAGATGGCAGTAGTAAATGACAAATATCCATGTTTTTCAAAATATGGCTTGCTGGCATTGGCAGTCATGCAATATTAGGCTCTGGTAGAAAGGTAAGGAATGTCAGTGGTGCCATGGTTTCTTTGTTTGTTGTTTGACGCACACTCAGCAATATACCAGCTACATGACGACGACTGTAAGTACTGGGGTAATCGAGTCTGGACCAGACAATCCAGTGATTGCCATCATGAGCATCGATCCACGCAATTGGGATACGATGACATGCATCAACCAAGTGACCAAGTCTGACCACCCGATCTCATTAGTCGCCTCTTATGACAAGCATGGGTTGCTGAAGACCAATTCTACCCCGGATCATCATGGGTAGTGGCGCCATGGACTATAATTGAAATTGAATCGTCAAGACAATGCAGATTTGCTGACCTACATTGCATGTGTGAGACTGACTGATTCATTAAATCCAACTCACACAGATGGATAACCTTCATACCCAATCACCTCGCTCAACAGTTTACCGTTAACCTTTAAATGACCTCTACTCAACTGATGCACCAAACTAAATAAATATCTGCTTGGTTAAACTTATATGTTTGAAAATAAACTAAGCCTGACATTTATCCTAAGATTTGCAGCCACCAGAGTAGCTGAAAATCTAGACTAACATCTAGTCTCTGAAATGAACATATCGAACAGAATAAACAGTTGCTCAGTTATCTTAATAAAAATATAATAAAAAGGGAGCCCAGTGATTCTCTTCATTTTCAGATACTGCAGTAATCTAGACTTGCCAAACATTAGACTTGCATGGGCTGTATTTGATTTATATTTGTATCAGGGTCTGTAAGACAGACTACTGAAAATCATGCTTTCAAAATAATGAATTTGGTGAGGGTGGTGCTATAATTAACAAACACATGTGATATGGCCTTGCACAAGAAAAGTGCTTTCAGAATCTGTAATCACTACTACCGTATCCATTCATCAATTGAATTCTTTATTCGTGGTCACTAGAATCGAATAGTTTTGAATATACAGTCATGTTCATTTGCATACCTTGTCCCTTCAAATATCCCTAAAAATATATTATATGCATTTCTTTAAAGACAACACTCTTATCATTTGACAGTATTGTGGTCACTGGTCATTGTTACATTTGAGCAGATACCTGGATAAGTGCAGTATATAACTGTATTATAAATAAATAATTAACAAACTATGGCAAAGCATTTTTGTTGTTATTGCTTCACTGAATATAATAATAATACATCAACTGCTGACTCGTATTGTAATCGAGAATAAATATTAGTATTCGTTACCCTATATCCATGTGTAGCCGGGCGTGGTGTCATGGGTCCAGCCACTGGGCTGCTAGTCAAAACATGAGGCAGTTGAAGTTGATGATGATGAAGTTGAAGATGATGATGATTTTATTCTTTTGTAGTAGATGGTGGGAGGGAAGCTGTAAACAAGAGTCCTCCCTCCATAAAGAGTTCATGCAGAATATGTTATAATTTAATTTAAGCCAAAAGGAAACAGATTAATTTATAAGGATATGTTGGGTAGCACATGGTTGAAGCACATGGTTGAAGACCATGTGCTCAATTTATATAACACAAAATGTGTGAGCTGGCAAATATTTAGATATGACAAATTAAATAATAATGCAATTAAATATATTTTACTTTAATGAAAAGCTGTGATACCCTTTCTATGAATATAATTGTTTCTAAAGCAGGATGGAAAGAGATAAGAATATTGAAATGTTTCTCACCTGTAAACAAGAGTCCTCCCTCCATAAAGAGTTCATGCAGAATGCATGAGGAGGGCAGGTGAGAAAGGAAGTTAAAGAAGTGGACCAAAGGGCCAATCAGAAGAAAGGTAGCATCTGACAGGTATTAAAAGGAAGTCAAGATGCTTCAGTCACATAAAGTGGTGGACATGTCTAAATTACAGAGGCTGCAGAAGGGTATCAGGTTGGTGTTAGTTGGCTGACATTCAACTGCAGACAAGGACAACATATGATGAACATATAATGAACACAGAATGAAGTGATGGTGATAATAGATGAACATGTATGTATATATGTATAGAATGAATCTAAGGGGGGTTATAAGTGGGTGGTACTTATGTGGCTATAACTCATTCAGAGTTAGCACCACCACCCGGCTACACATGATACGAGTTGTTTTAGCCTCACTGTGTATTCGTTGCACCCCTAATCACTACCGTACTTTTCAACACATTGCTTTTTACTCATAGGGATGCTCGGCAACATCTGAAGAAGACACGAGGGGAAGACAACTCCTACCCAGTCCTTGCCTTCCATGGCACCGAGGAAAAGAACATCGTCCCCATCTGTGAGACTGGCTTCAGGGTGCCAGGTACTATTCTTTTAGTGGTCTGCAGTTGGCTGATAGATATGAATTATCTCCCTTGGAGTTTTTGTGATGTGTTCGTTGATCACATACTTGCACTAATTCAATACTTTCTCACAGGGTTTTACCAAATGATAAACAAAATGTGTACAAAATGCATACAAATTGAGAATAGACACAGACATATGCAGCACATGGGACACAAAAGAGTAGTTACGGCTGTAAGAATCATTAAAATAAATTCAATTGTAGCATGTAAGTTTATTTGATACATGTGAAATAATATTTCTCTTCTAATCAGAAATGCAATTGAAATTCAGACTATCCATGTCCAATTTTCTCTATTCAGACACGAGAAGTTTACTTTCAAACAAGAAAATCCTTTGGAACATGGAATATCTCACCCGGTTCTACTATATATTTTTCATGTAGTTGTCTACCGGAAACTTAAATTATTTCATTACATATGTGAAACCTTAAAACATACGTTCTCCCTACCTAACACACAGGGACGGTTCACCCACCCTTGTACTTTGTAACTAAAAAAGTAGATTTCGTGCAAAATCTTAATAAGTATAAACCAAAGTAACAAAAAATATTTAGGGTCATGAGAATTCTTTATATAGATATGATTATATACAAAATCAACTTTAACAAAAAAATATACTTGAAAACTACGAAACCGCAGTTGGAAGCAAAATAATACACGCTGGTCAAGTAACAAAAATGGCCCTTTGCAAAACGAACAGTCTTGATTGACAAGTTAAGTGAGAAATTTACAGTTTATAACGAAACATTTTCAAGAGAATAACAAACGGCATGAAGCGATATTAACTCCATAAATGACCATCTGTGATATTTTGCCTTGTCAATGTGGAACTAACGTAAAAAGGGAGTCAACAGTTTGTATACGGGCTAGACGCTTACGATAAAGGGAGACGAAAAGGGAGAGGAAGTCACTCTTGTATGACAATAGTTCCGTCAAAGTGTTATGTTCACTGCAGTAAAATATCAATTATTATGTTCACTGCAATGAAAATATCACTTTTCTCAACTTCGGAAAACTCAGTCTTTAAGTATAATAATAACTTGTTTTATGTCTTGTTATTAATGCACAATCAAATCATCAAGTCATATATAGTTTTGTTGAGTTTTGCACACCATGTAAGAGATAGAAATTTGAAATGTAGGACATGAGTTATGAACTTGAGACAAAGATACAAGCACAAATGGATATTATCTTACTCTTATTTGAGCATACCAGGAATGTGTACATTTATTTGCTTTCCTCGTCAACAGGTTCAGCAGGTTTCAGCCACCGGACTGACACGGGGTGGTACGGGAAAGGGGTGTACTTCAGTGAGTACCCCAGCTACTCCATGAGCTACATTCAGGGGGCAACCAAGCTACTGCTGTGTCAGGTGCTCCCAGGGAAGGTGAGTACAGGGCTACATTCAGGGGGCAACCAAGCTACTGCTGGGTCAGGTGCTCCCAGGGAAGGTGAGTACAGGGCTACATTCAGGGGGCAACCAAGCTACTGCTGTGTCAGGTGCTCCCAGGGAAGGTGAGTACAGGGCTACACTCAGGGGGCAACCAAGCTACTGCTGTGTCAGGTGCTCCCAGGGAAGGTGAGTACAGGGCTACATTCAAGGGCAACCAAGCTACTGCTGTGTCAGGTGCTCCCAGGGAAGGTGAGTACAGGGCTACATTCAAGGGCAACCAAGCTACTGCTGTGTCAGGTGCTCCCAGGGAAGGTGAGTACAGGGCTACACTCAGGGCGCAACCAAGCTACTGCTGTGTCAGGTGCTCCCAGGGAAGGTGAGTACAGGGCTACATTCAGGGGGCAACCAAGCTACTGCTGTGTCAGGTGCTCCCAGGGAAGGTGAGTACAGGGCTACTTTCAGGGGGCTACTGCTGTGTCAGGTACTCCCAGGGAAGGTGAGTACAGGGCTACATTCAGGGGGCTACTGCTGTGTCAGGTGCTCCCAGGGAAGGTGAGTACAGGGCTACACTCAGGGGGCAACCAAGCTACTGCTGTGTCAGGTGCTCCCAGGGAAGGTGAGTACAGGGCTACACTCAGGGGGCAACCAAGCTACTGCTGTGTCAGGTGCTCCCAGGGAAGGTGAGTACAGGGCTACATTCAGGGGGCAACCAAGCTACTGCTGTGTCAGGTGCTCCCAGGGAAGGTGAGTACAGGGCTACATTCAAGGGCAACCAAGCTACTGCTGTGTCAGGTGCTCCCAGGGAAGGTGAGTACAGGGCTACTTTCAGGGGGCAACCAAGCTACTGCTGTGTCAGGTGCTCCCAGGGAAGGTGAGTACAGGGCTACATTCAGGGGCAACCAAGCTACTGCTGTGTCAGGTGCTCCCAGGGAAGGTGAGTACAGGGCTACTTTCAGGGGGCAACCAAGCTACTGCTGTGTCAGGTGCTCCCAGGGAAGGTGAGTACAGGGCTACATTCAAGGGCAACCAAGCTACTGCTGTGTCAGGTTCTCCCAGGGAAGGTGAGTACAGGGCTACATTCAGGGGCAACCAAGCTACTGCTGTGTCAGGTGCTCCCAGGGAAGGTGAGTACAGGGCTACATTCAGGGGGCAACCAAGCTACTGCTGTGTCAGGTGCTCCCAGGGAAGGTGAGTACAGGGCTACATTCAGGGGCAACCAAGCTACTGCTGTGTCAGGTGCTCCCAGGGAAGGTGAGTACAGGGCTACATTCAGGGGCAACCAAGCTACTGCTGTGTCAGGTGCTCCCAGGGAAGGTGAGTACAGGGCTACATTCAGGGGCAACCAAGCTACTGCTGTGTCAGGTGCTCCCAGGGAAGGTGAGTACAGGGCTACATTCAGGGGGCAACCAAGCTACTGCTGTGTCAGGTGCTCCCAGGGAAGGTGAGTACAGGGCTATATTCAGGGGGCAACCAAGCTACTGCTGTGTCAGGTGCTCCCAGGGAAGGTGAGTACAGGGCTACATTCAGGGGCAACCAAGCTACTGCTGTGTCAGGTGCTCCCAGGGAAGGTGAGTACAGGGCTACATTCAGGGGCAACCAAGCTACTGCTGTGTCAGGTGCTCCCAGGGAAGGTGAGTACAGGGCTATATTCAGGGGGCAACCAAGCTACTGCTGTGTCAGGTGCTCCCAGGGAAGGTGAGTACAGGGCTACATTCAGGGGGCTACTGCTGTGTCAGGTGCTCCCAGGGAAGGTGAGAAAAGGGCTACATTCAAGGAGCTACTGCTGTGTCAGGTGCTCCCAGGGAAGGTGAGTACAGGGCTACATTCAATGAGCTACTGCTGTGTCAGGTACTCCCATGGAAGGTGAGTACAGGGCTATATTCAGGGGGCAACCAAGCTACTGCTGTGTCAGGTGCTCCCAGGGAAGGTGAGTACAGGGCTACATTCAAGGAGCTACTGCTGTGTCAGGTGCTCCCAGGGAAGGTGAGTACAGGGCTACATTCAGGGGGCAACCAAGCTACTGCTGTGTCAGGTGCTCCAAGGGAAGGTGGGTACAGGGCTATATTCAGGGGGCAACCAAGCTACTGCTGTGTCAGGTGCTCCCAGGGAAGGTGAGTACAGGGCTACTTTCAGGGGGCAACCAAGCTACTGCTGTGTCAGGTACTACCAGGGAAGGTGAGTACAGGGCTACATTCAGGGGGCAACCAAGCTACTGCTGTGTCAGGTGCTCCCAGGGAAGGTGAGTACAGGGCTACATTCAGGGGGCAACCAAGCTCCTGCTGTGTCAGGTGCTCCCAGGGAAGGTGAGTACAGGGCTACATTCAGGGGGCTACTGCTGTGTCAGGTGCTCCCAGGGAAGGTGAGTACAGGGCTACATTCAAGGAGCTACTGCTGTGTCAGGTGCTCCCAGGGAAGGTGAGTACAGGGCTACATTCAAGGAGCTACTGCTGTGTCAGGTGCTCCCAGGGAAGGTGAGTACAGGGCTATATTCAGGGGGCAACCAAGCTACTGCTGTGTCAGGTGCTCCCAGGGAAGGTGAGTACAGGGCTACATTCAAGGAGCTACTGCTGTGTCAGGTACTACCAGGACTACACTCTGAACCAAGAGCTGACCACCCCCAGAAAATGTTGAAAATTGTAGGTTCACCCATCACAAGAAGAACACTTCACAAAGTCAGGGTAGTGTTGGAATGGTGTTACATTAAACCCTGTGTGAAGTCATGAACAACAGATGACATGGTCGTCAATCATTTTGCCATTGCCGTAGCCTGTGTCCACATGTGCCGAAGTTGATTTCATCAAAAATCAAAACTACAGAAAACCTCCGTGTCCAGATCTAATCTGTGAAAGCAGAAAGTTTTATCATTGTGTGTTGAAGACAAGGGAAGACTGATTTTAGCATCTTGTCAGAACTTGTGTAATTATATCCAGGACACAATTAAACACCTCATTAAATTGTATCCACTAATCAGTATCTGTGTAAATATAGATCGTAGCTGGCTCGTATTCTTGTTGCTTCATTCACTCGTGACAGAATCAAATGATTGTTGGTTTGTATCTCAGATTCAACCCTCACCCAATGATTGTTGACCAGTAATTTTGTTGCAGGTTTCGCAGTCTGCAACTCTGACACATCTTCCTGAGGCAAGGGAGTTATCTGACTCTGAAAGTCCAGTTTCCACCCTTGCTGAACTAGGCTGGAATTTCTAGGCTTGATTGTAGCTATTGAGAGTTATGTCCCTTCTGTGCGCCTCCTATTGACCAATCAGATTCCACCTCTCATATCACTTGCATTTGCCTCAAAGAAAATGGCAGCGCCCAGTCAAGATGATCTGACTCATTAGTCCAGCCAAAATAAAACTCCATAATTCCAGCTTTGTTCAGCAAGTGTGGAAACTGGACTTTTACAGTCAGTTAACTCCCTTGCCTCAGGAAGATGCTCTGACTACTTGTCTGAAGGCATTAACCAAACTGAATCGTAATAAGTACGTTCAGGCTAAAATCTTCTGAAACAGTCTCAATAAAAGACTAAAACGTTTCTGTCTCAGATTGGACAGGGCCTAGAAGAGCTGCATGTCTGTGAAGTATACACAACTTCAACCCTAGAATTCATGGGGGGCATGGGTCTTAGGCGCCGCAATTCGCTGTGCAGAGTTGCGTCCTTTGGTCACGCCAGAAACCTATGATTGTGGGTTCAAATCCCGGTTCGCCCTGATTATGTTTATAGGTTTGTCAGCACCCGTGCTCGTGGGTTTCACCGAAGTGGTAAACGTCTGAGACCTGCAGCACCCGTGCTCGTGGGTTTCACCGAAGTGGTAAACGTCTGAGACCTGCATCACTTCGGGCTTTCCTCCCCCATTAAGCTGACACGCACAGTGATATAACTGGAATAATGTTAAAAGCGGCGTTAAACCCAACTCACTCACTCACACTAGAATTCATGGCACTGTGATTGTTGCAGGTGTACAAATGTACAAAGCTCATCCATGGAGCGTCTCTGGCGAAAGGTAATGATTCTCACACATCGCCGGACGGTAAGGAACTTGTCATCTTCAACAGCCATCACATAATTCCCTGCTACATCGTGCACTACGAAACTAGCTCTGGGGACTTCACCTACAAGAAAGCAGTAAGTATATGCCTATATAATAAGAATATAGTTTAACTCTGAGTTTGGAGATCTTGTGTGTTATTAACATCTTAACTCCTGAGACACGAAAATGCAGTGTTTAACTGTTTAGTTTTAGAAATATACATCGTCACTACTTCTGGGGTTTGTATGCACTGCATTCCTTCATCACTGTATTAACAGCAAGTAAAGTACAAAGTATGTGTTATGCCTTATTCTTATTACAACAGAGGGGGGACCGGGTGGCCCTGTCGTCTAAGGCGCCGCAATTCGCTGCGCAGAGTTGCGTCCCTTTGGCACGCCAGGTTCGCATCCCGGTTCGCCACTGTTATGTTTCTAGGTTTGTCAGCACCATACCTATGCTCGTGGGTTTCACCGAAGTAGTAAATGTCTGAGACCTGCATCACTTTGGGATTTTCCTCCCACATTAAGCTGACACGCCCTGATATAACTGGAATACTGTTATAAGCGGCGTTAAACCCAACTCACTTAAGAATTGAATGTCAGTTTGGATGGGTTCATTTAAGTGTGAACGATTTAAAAGCGACGGTTAAACTGTGTGAACCTCCGAGCTTGCTTGTCAACCCCTGTAGACAGAGAGAATGTCGACATTCTCTCTGTCTACAGCAGTTGACATTCTCGATCTCTGTCTACAGGGGTTGACATTCTCGATCTCTGTCTACAGGGGTTAACATTCTCGATCTCTGTCTACAACGGTTGACATTCTCGATATCTGTCTACAGGGGTTGACATTCTCGATCTCTGTCTACAGGGGTTGACATTCTCGATCTCTGTCTACAACGGTTGACATTCTCGATCTCTGTCTACAGCGATTGACATTCTCGATCTCTGTCTACAGCGGTTGACATTCTCGATCTCTGTCTACAGCGGTTGACATTCTCGATCTCTGTCTACAACGGTTGACATTCTCAATCTCTGTCTACAGGGGTTGACATTCTCGATGTCTACAGGGGTTGACATTCTCGATCTCTGTCTACAGGGGTTGACATTCTCGATCTCTGTCTACAGGGGTTGACATTCTCGATCTCTGTCTACAGGGGTTGACATTCTCGATCTCTGTCTCCAGGGGTTGACATTCTCGATCTCTGTCTCCAGGGGTTGACATTCTCAATCTCTGTGTACAGGGGTTGACATTCTCAATCTCTGTTTACAGGGGTTGACATTCTCGATCTCTGTCTACAGGGTTGACATTCTCGATCTCTGTCTACAGGGGTTGACATTCTCGATCTCTGTCTACAGGGGTTGACATTCTCGATCTCTGTCTACAGGGGTTGACATTTTCGATCTCTGTCTACAGGGGTTGACATTCTCGATCTCTGTCTACAGGGGTTGACATTTTCGATCTCTGTCTACAACGGTTGACATTCTCGATCCCTGTCTACAGGGGTTGACATTCTCGATGTCTACAGGGGTTGACATTCTCGATCTCTGTCTACAGGGGTTGACATTCTCGATCTCTGTCTACAGCGATTGACATTCTCGATCTCTGTCTACAGGGGTTAACATTCTCGATCTCTGTCTACAACGGTTGACATTCTCGATTTCTGTCTACAGGGGTTGACATTCTCGATCTCTGTCTACAGGGGTTGACATTCTCGATCTCTGTCTACAGGGGTTGACATTCTCGATCTCTGTCTACATGGGTTGACATTCTCTCTCTCTACAGGGGTTGACATTCTCTCTGTCTACAGGGGTTGACATTCTCTGTCTACAGGGGTTGACATTCTCTCTGTCTACAGGGGTTGACATTCTCTGTCTACAGGGGTTGACATTCTCGATCTCTGTCTACAGGGGTTGACATTCTCGATCTCTGTCTACAGGGGTTGACATTCTCTCTGTCTACAGCGGTTGACATTCTCGATCTCTGTCTACAGGGGTTGACATTCTCTCTGTCTACAGGGGTTGACATTCTCGATCTCTGTCTAGAGGGGTTGACATTCTCTCTGTCTACAGGGGTTGACATTCTCGATCTCTGTCTACAGGGCTCTTCCGGGCCTTCGACGTCCAGTGATACAGCAGATGAAGATGTCACAGAGAAGTTTTCCAAAGTTTCGGGACTGAAAGCAACAAGGTATTCCAGACACTCAGGCCCCCTAGTTAATGCTGCCACCTGAATAGAACCTGGGGCAGCATTGGAGTAGTGACATTGCATGAATTCACTGTAAACTGCCAGACTCCACTGCATGTAGTGTGATGGCTGTTTGGAATACAGGTTTTCTGTGCTTATCGGAAATGAGGTGAATGATACACTTTTTTAAAAGACAAAACGGAAACTATTGGAAATGTTTATGTAAGGTTCATGACTTTTGTTGTGTCATGTTAGTCTTATGCACGAAACTGGTTCCTATATGGATTCCTAACCCTGCTGTCCGAGGTGCTATACTGGACTGAGTTGAGTCGATTGATCTAGTATATGTAAATGTAATAAATGAGACAAAGAGGATTGTGGATTAAAATAGGTCGTGGTGTGGATGGCGCTGAAGGGACAGTATGCATGGGCAGCATAGTTGTGGCCCTCCGCCGTGGCCACCGCGGCAAGGCATACAGGTGTAGGCATGGGGGTCTTTGTACTCCCTCCCGCGGAAACAGCAGGCAGGAAGATTTAGACTGCCGCTGTAGAAGCAGCAACCAGGAACCCAGGATTATTTTTGTTATTAATGTGCTGTCCTGCAGGCACCATGCCCACCACACCTAGTTTATTGGATGAACAGTGATATATACATGATATACACACACATTGGTGTATGTATGTTGTTGGTTCAAAACTCCTGGTTTGTAGTGTAGCGGCCATAAAATTTCCGAGTGACTAGTTCGTGACCCCCTGCAATATTCCACCCATGTAATGGTAGTACCAAGAATGAGCTTCACATTTCGGGACTGAGCCAATGTGACTAGAACCTAAGCCTTTGGCATGAAGAGCAACCACATTACCACTAGGCTAAAAGCTACCCCAAGCCACATCCTCAGCGAGGTTTTTAGAATAAACTCCTAGATAAAGCAGTAAAACTCATCTTAATGTTTCTTACAATTGTTTGGGGCACGGATGGCCCAGTCTTCTAAGGCGCCGCGATTCGCTGTGCAGAGTTGTGTCCCTTTGGCACACCAGAAACCTATGATTGTAGGTTCGAATCCTGGTTCGCCCCGATTATGTTTCTAGGTTTGTCCACACCATACCCGTGCTCGTGGGTTTCACCGAAGTGGTAAACGTCTGAGACCTGCATCAATTCGGGCTTTCCTCCCACATTAAGCTGACACGCCGTGATATAACTGGAATACTGTTAAAAGCGGCGTTAAACCCAACTCACTCACTCACTCTTAAAACTGTTTACAGTGTCCTCAGTTTGGATGAAAAAGAATTTCCAAAACAAATAATCAAATTGTTAACGTATATTTCCAGTGTCTTCAAGGGACAGAAAATCCTGTTTTCCGGCAGCTTCTGTGACACGCAGGCGAACATGAACACGCTGGTCGTGAAGCATAAAGGAGGCGTTGGTACTGTGGGCACCATGACGCTGCTGGTGGCCAGTGAAGCCGAGTTCTGTGCCAAGAGCACAAAAGTAAAGAAGGCGGAGTTAAAGGGGGTGAGTTCTGGCAGTAGATTGTAATAAATAGGTTTATATATTGACTCCAAGCCCAAGCACACTCAGAGCGCATTGTGTGTTACTGAAACAAGGTCAAACAACGTTTGTGTCGAAGTTGAAGGGACCTACGTAAATGCTTCAAGTTTCGACACAACTGAAACTGATGAATAAAGAAGGAATACACAGGGACAAGCTTTTACTTCGAGACAACTGTAAGTTCGACACAACAGTGTTTGACTGTACTCTAGTCCTCTGACTTAAGCATGCACTGCTGTTAAACAAACTTAACTCATTAATAGGTTATTAATAGGTTTATTTATTTAGTGCTTAACTCCATGCCTAAGCACGCTGGGTTGGATGTGGGGTTGGGGTTGATGTAGGGGTTAAGTTGGATGTGGGGGTTAGGTTGGATGTGGGGGTAAGGTTGGATGTGGAGGTTGGATATGGGGGTGGGGTGGATGTGGGGGTGGGTGGATGTGGGGGTTGGGGTGGATGTGGTAGTTGGGTTGGATATGGGGGTTAGGTCGGAGGTGGGGGTTGGGGTGGATGTGGGGGTTAAGTTGGATGTGGGGGTTAGGTTGGATGTGGGGGTAAGGTTGGATATGGGGGTAAGGTTGGATATGGGGGTGGGGTGGATGTGGGGGTGGGTGGATGTGGGGGTTGGGGTGGATGTAGGGGTTGGATGTGGGGGTTTGGGATGGATGTGGGGGCTGGGGTGGATGTGGGAGTGGAGTGGATATGGGGGGTGGATGCTGGGGTTGGGGGGTGGATGTGGGGGTTTGATGTGGAGGTTGGGGTGGATGTAGGGGTTGGATGTTGGGTGGATGTGGGGGTTGGGGTGGATGTGGGGGGTTGGATGCTGGGGGTGGGGTGGTGGTGAAAATGGGATGGAATGTATCAGAGAAGGTTGTACAAGCAATGAGATTGTTCCGGAAGATTGTGAAGAAATATTAATTCAGTTATTTCATGTACTGATGTTCAAGGAAACTGCTTTGGTTATGGTGCATTTGGAAGGCTGGTATCATTATTTGGGACACCATAATGAAAAACAAATCCTAATTCATGTTTCTATTACTGTTTCAATGTAAGATATTTCTTTGTATGTTCTATTATTCTTTCAATGTAACATATTTCTCTGTATGTTCTATTACTGTTTCAATGTAACATATTTCTCTGTATGTTCTATTACTGTTTCAATGTAACATATTTCTCTGTATGTTCTATTACTGTTTCAATGTAACATATTTCTCTGTATGTTCTATTACTGTTTCAATGTAACATATTTCTCTGTATGTTCTATTACTGTTTCAATGTAACATATTTCTCTGTATGTTCTATTACTGTTTCAATGTAACATATTTCTCTGTATGTTCTATTACTGTTTTAATGTAACATATTTCTCTGTATGTTCTATTACTGTTTCAATGTAACATATTTCTCTGTATGTTCTATTACTGTTTCAATGTAACATATTTCTCTGTATGTTCTATTACTGTTTCAATGTAACATATTTCTCTGTATGTTCTATTACTGTTTTAATGTAACATATTTCTTTGTATGTGTTGCAGGTTTCCATTGTGAGGGAAGAGTTCTTGTACGACTGCATCATAAAGAAAAAATTCCTAGACGTAGACGATTACTGTGTTCATTAACCAACTGATGTATGTCTGCTAGTACTGCCATGTACAGGAATTGCTTTAACGATATTCTGTATTTGAAGTTATACCTCCCATCATGCACTGCAGCTGGAAATCATACATCTCCCATCATACACTGCAGCTGGGGATCATACATCTCCCATCATACACTGCAGCTGGCGATCATACATCTCCCATCATGCACTGCAGCTGGAAATCATACATCTCCCATCATGCACTGCAGCTGGGGATCATACATCTCCCATCATGCACTGCAGCTGGGGATCATACATCTCCCATCATGCACTGCAGCTGGGGATCATACATTTCCCATCATGCACTGCAGCTGGCGATCATACATCTCCCATCATGCACTGCAGCTGGGGATCATACATCTCCCATCATGCACTGCAGCTGGGGATCATACATCTCCCATCATGCACTGCAGCTGGGGATCATACATCTCCCATCATGCACTGCATCTGGGGATCATACATCTCCCATCATGCACTGCAGCTGGGGATCATACATCTCCCATCATGCACTGCAGCTGGGGATCATACATCTCCCATCATGCACTGCAGCTGGGGATCATACATCTCCCATCATGCACTGCAGCTGGAAATCATACATCTCCCATCATGCACTGCAGCTGGGGATCATACATCTCCCATCATGCACTGCAGCTGGCGATCATACATCTCCCATCATGCACTGCAGCTGGGGATCATACATCTCCCATCATACACTGCAGCTGGCGATCATACATCTCCCATCATGCACTGCAGCTGGGGATCATACATCTCCCATCATGCACTGCAGCTGGCGATCATACATCTCCCATCATGCACTGCAGCTGGGGATCATACATCTCCCATCATGCACTGCAGCTGGGGATCATACATCTCCCATCATGCACTGCAGCTGGGGATCATACATCTCCCATCATGCACTGCATTTGGGGATCACATCTCCCATCATGCACTCACGTATACTTCCATTGTAAAAGTGCATTATGTAGAGTAATAACTATACCATACTGTGTTCAATCAACTCAACCATGGGGATTCCGGGCTAGAATAAACCCCACAGCCTATGCTGGCTGTAAGAGGCGGCCTATTGGATCGGGTGGTCAGGCTTGCTGACTTAGTTAACTGCGTGTAATTATACCCGCGTTGAGATCTGGCATGGAATTGGTCTTCAGCAACTCCTACTTGTCGTAAGATGCAACTGACAGGTCTGGTGGTCAGGCTTGCTAACTTGGTTGATGCATGCCATTTTATCCCAGTTGCATATAATGTTGCTCATGATATCAATCACTGGATTGTCTGGTCCAGACTGGTGCAGACACTTTAACTCTGACATGATATCTCTCATGAGTTGAGCAATAACACTTTAAACCAACTGTAACACAGTGAGGGTGTAAATAATTATGCGACTACTTACAGACCAATTACTATGTAACACTATTAAGTGAGATAGTAGAATTATTTATGCCATTATGTGTAGTTAAGGTGAGACTTGTACCAGGAGTGTTTGTTGTCAATGTATTAATGAATATTAGTGCTATGCTTATATGGTTTAAGGTATAAAAGTGATTTTTGTTGCAATGTTAACACTTTTTTTATACAATATATGTAAAATGTATTTATTTTTAATTTAATAAAAGGTAAATGTCACAAAAAGAAATAGATGTATCAGTTTCTTCATATATTTTGTGTTGAACAATTGAAAATGAGGCTGTCATTCTTAATATGATTTATTTTAAAAATTTGTTTGTTCATTTTAAGAACAATTTACCTTTGCATGAGAGAGATCTTGTTGTTGATTGTTTACGGTGTCAATATTTTTGTTTGTTTTAATCTTCATACATGTTTTGTTGATTCATCGTTCCTGTATTTTGTTTTTGATTCTTTGTATTGGAAAAGAAATTTCAAAGAGTGACACATTACCTGTACCAGGGTCCTGTGGTAGTGGGTTCAAATCCCAGATGGCCCTAATTATGATTCTTGGTTTGTCAGTACCGTCCTCGTGCTCAAGTGTTTCATTGAAGTGGTAAACATCTAAGACCTTCATAATCAGCCGTGCCACTACTGTCGAACACATTCGACAGAGGGTGTCATTTGTCGGATCGCTACAGTTGAACCCATTTGACAGTGTGTCACTAGCCATGCCGCTACTGTTGAACTCATTTGACAGAGTGTGTCACTAGCCGTGCTGCTACTGTTGAACCCATTCGACAGAGTGTGTCATCTGCCGGATTGCTACAGTTGAACCCATTTGACAGAGTGTGTCACTAGCCGTGCTTCTACTGTTGAACCCATTCGACAGAGTGTGTCATTTGCCGGATTGCTACAGTTGAACCCATTTGACAGAGTGTGTCACCAGCTGTGCCTCTACTGTTGAACCCATTCGACAGAGTGTGTCACTAGCCGTGCCTCTACTGTTGAACCCATTCGACAGAGTGTGTCACCAGCTGTGCCGCTACTGTTGAACCCATTCGACAGAGTGTGTCACTAGCCGTGCCTCTACTGTTGAACCCATTCGACAGAGTGTCTCACCAGCTGTGCCTCTACTGTTGAACCCATTTGACAGAGTGTGTCACTAGCCGTGCCTCTACTGTTGAACCCATTCGACAGAGTGTGTCACTAGCCGTGCCTCTACTGTTGAACCCATTCGACAGAGTGTGTCACCAGCTGTGCCGCTACTGTTGAACCCATTCGACAGAGTGTGTCACTAGCCGTGCCTCTACTGTTGAACCCATTCGACAGAGTGTCTCACCAGCTGTGCCGCTACTGTTGAACCCATTTGACAGAGTGTGTCACTAGCCGTGCCTCTACTGTTGAACCCATTCGACAGAGTGTGTCACTAGCCGTGCCTCTACTGTTGAAGCCATTCGACAGAGTGTGTCACCAGCTGTGCCACTACTGTTGAACCCATTCGACAGAGTGTGTCACCAGCTGTGCCTCTACTGTTGAACCCATTTGACAGAGTGTGTCACTAGCCGTGCCTCTACTGTTGAACCTATTCGACAGAGTGTCTCACTAGCCGTGCTTCTACTGTTGAACCCATTCGACAGAGTGTGTCATTTGCCGGATTGCTACAGTTGAACCCATTTGACAGAGTGTGTCACCAGCTGTGCCGCTACTGTTGAACCCATTTGACAGAGTGTGTCACTAGCCGTGCTTCTACTGTTGAACCCATTCGACAGAGTGTGTCATTTGCCGGATTGCTACAGTTGAACCCATTTGACAGAGTGGGTCACTAGCTGTGCCTCTACTGTTGAACCTATTCGACAGAGTGTCTCACTAGCCGTGCCTCTACTGTTGAACCCATTCGACAGAGTGTCTCACCAGCTGTGCCTCTACTGTTGAACCCATTTGACAGAGTGTGTCACTAGCCGTGCCTCTACTGTTGAACCCATTCGACAGAGTGTGTCACTAGCCGTGCCTCTACTGTTGAACCCATTCGACAGAGTGTGTCACCAGCTGTGCCGCTACTGTTGAACCCATTCGACAGAGTGTGTCACTAGCCGTGCCTCTACTGTTGAACCCATTGGACAGAGTGTCTCACTAGCCGTGCCTCTACTGTTGAACCCATTCGACAGAGTGTATCACTAGCCGTGCCTCTACTGTTGAACCCATTTGACAGAGTGTGTCATCTGCCGGATTGCTACAGTTGAACCCATTTGACAGAGTGTGTCACTAGCCGTGCTTCTACTGTTGAACCCATTCGACAGAGTGTATCACTAGCCGTGCCTCTACTGTTGAACCCATTTGACAGAGTGTGTCATCTGCCGGATTGCTACAGTTGAACCCATTTGAGAGAGTGTGTCACTAGCCGTGCTTCTACTGTTGAACCCATTCGACAGAGTGTGTCATTTGCCGTGCCTCTACTGTTGAACCCATTTGACAGAGTGTGTCACCAGCTGTGCCGCTACTGTTGAACCCATTTGACAGAGTGTGTCACTAGCCGTGCCTCTACTGTTGAACCCATTTGACAGAGTGTGTCACTAGCCGTGCCTCTACTGTTGAACCCATTCGTCAGAGTGTCTCACTAGCCGTGCCTCTACTGTTGAACCTATTCGACAGAGTGTCACCAGCTGTGCCGCTACTGTTGAACCTATTCGACAGAGTGTGTCACTAGCCGTGCCTCTACTGTTGAACCCATTCGACAGAGTGTCTCACTAGCTGTGCCTCTACTGTTGAACCCATTTGACAGAGTGTGTCACTAGCCGTGCCTCTACTGTTGAACCCATTTGACAGAGTGTGTCATCTGCCCGATTGCTACAGTTGAACCCATTTGACAGAGTGTGTCACTAGCCGTGCTTCTACTGTTGAACCCATTCGACAGAGTGTCTCACTAGCTGTGCCTCTACTGTTGAACCCATTTGACAGAGTGTGTCACTAGCCGTGCCTCTACTGTTGAACCCATTTGACAGAGTGTGTCATCTGCCCGATTGCTACAGTTGAACCCATTTGACAGAGTGTGTCACTAGCCGTGCTTCTACTGTTGAACCCATTCGACAGAGTGTGTCATTTGCCGGATTGCTACAGTTGAACCCATTTGACAGAGTGTGTCATTTGCTGGATCGGTACAGTTGAACCCATTTAAAAGAGTGTGTCACTAGCCGTGCTTCTACTGTTGAACCCATTTGACAGAGTGTGTCATTTGGCGGATTGCTACAGTTGAACCCATTCGAAAGAGTGTGTCACCAGCTGTGCCGCTACTGTTGAACCCATTCGACAGAGTGTGTCACTAGCCGTGCCTCTACTGTTGAACCCATTCGACAGAGTGTGTCACTAGCCGTGCCTCTACTGTTGAACCCATTCGTCAGAGTTTGTCCTTTGCTGGATCGCTACAGTTGAACCCATTTGACAGAGTGTGTCACTAGCCGTGCTTCTACTGTTGGACCCATTCGACAGAGTGTGTCATTTGCCGGACTGCTACAGTTGAACCCATTCGACAGAGTGTCATTTGTTGGATCGCTACAGTTGAACCCATTTGACAGAGTGTGTCACTAGCCACTAGTCACTAGTCACTAGTCAGGTTTTGAACCTCTTTTAGCAATATTCCACCAATTTCATGCCAGGGGACACCAGAGAGAGCGCCACACATTTTACCAATGCGGAGAATGGAACTCAAACTTTCATTGTGACGTTTGCTTTAACCACTAGCCCACCCATCTTCCCGAGGCAAGGATATTAACTGACTATAAAAGTCCAGTTTCCACCCTTGTTGAACTAGGCTGCAATTATGGAGTCACATTTTGGCTGGGCTAACGAGTCTATGCAGAGTCCAATCAAAATCGTATTTCGAACTGGTCATCCGGTTCGTAAACAACATGGATTTCAATGTGCAGGATTTGCAAAGCATGTGTACCGCCAACTGGGCGTCAACAGATATTTTTGCAAATTCTTTTATGTTTTTGATCAAGGTACTCACGTGATTTGATGCACTTCGCGAAGTAAGACCTGTTTTATTACATGATAGATCTT